TACACAGGACACAGGTAAAGCATTAGTTTACATACCCACCTACACAGGACACACACCCACCTACACAGGACACAGGTAAAGCATTAGTTTACACACCCATCTACACAGGACACAGGTAAAGCATTAGTTTATACACCCGCCTACAGAGGACACAGGTAAAGCATTAGTTTACACATCCACCTACAGAGGACACAGGTAAAGCATTAGTTTACACACCCACCTACACAGGACACACACCCACCTACAAAAGACACAGGTAAAGCATAAGTTTACACATCCACCTACAGAGGACACAGGTAAAGCATTAGTTTACACACCCACCTACACAGGACACACACCCACCTACACAGGACACAGGTAAAGCATTAGTTTACACACCAATCTATACAGGACACAGGTAAAGCATTAGTTTACATACCCACCTACAGATGACACAGGTAAAGCATTAGTTTATACAACCACCTAAACAGGACACACACCCACCTACACAGGACACAGGTAAAGCATAAGTTTACATACCCACCTACACAGGACACAGGTAAAGCATTAGTTTACACATCCACCTACAGAGGACACAGGTAAAGCATTAGTTTACACACCCACCTACAGAGGACACAGGTAAAGCATTAGTTTACATACCAACCTACAGAGAACACAGGTAAAGCATTAGTTTACATACCAACTACACAGGACACACACCCACCTACACAGGTAAAGCATTAGTTTACACACCCACCTACAGAGGACACAGGTAAAGCATTAGTTTACATACCAACCTACAGAGAACACAGGTAAAGCATTAGTTTACATACCCAAATACACAGGACACACACCCATCTATACAGGTAAAGCATTAGTTTACACACCCACCTACAGAGGACACAGGTAAAGCATTAGTTTACATACCCAACTACACAGGACACACACCCACCTACACAGGTAAAGCATTAGTTTACACACCCACCTACAGAGGACACAGGTAAAGCATTAGTTTACATACCCAACTACACAGGACACACACCCACCTACACAGGTAAAGCATTAGTTTACACACCCACCTACACAGGACACAGGTAAAGCATTTGTTTACATACCCAACTACACAGGACACACACCCACCTACACAGGTAAAGCATTAGTTTACACACCCACCTACACAGGACACAGGTAAAGCATTAGTTTACATACCACCTACAGAGGACACAGGTAAAGCATTAGTTTACATACCACCTACAGAGGACACAGGTAAAGCATTAGTTTACACACCGACCTACACAGGACATACACCCGCCTACAGAGTAAACAGGTAAAGCATTAGTTTACACACCCATCTACACAGGACACAAGTAAAGCATTAGTTTACACATCCACCTACAGAGGACACATACCCACCTACACAGGAAACAGGTAAAGCATTAGTTTACATACCCACCTACACAGGACACAGGTAAAGCATTAGTTTACACACTCACCTACACAGGACACACACCCACCTACACAGGACACAGGTAAAGCATTAGTTTACACACCCACCTACAGAGGACACTGGTAAAGCATTAGTTTACACACCTACCTACACAGGACACACACCCACCTACACAGGACACAGGTAAAGCATTATTTACACACCCACCTACAGAGGCACGGGTAAAGCATTAGTTTACACACCCACCTACACAGGACACAGGTAAAGCATTAGTTTACACACCCACCTACAGAGGAAACAGGTAAAGCATTAGTTTACACACCCACCTACAGAGAAAACAGGTAAAGCATTAGTTTACACACGCACCTACAGAGGACACTGGTAAAGCATTAGTTTACACACCCACCTACACAGGACACACACCAACCTATACATCAACCATACATTGTGATAACCTCCAACATCATCAACCATGCATTGTGATAACCTCCACCATCATCAACCATACATTGTGATAACCTCTGACATCACCAACCATACATTGTGATAACCTCCGACATCATCAACCATTCATTGTGATAACCTCCGATATCATCAACCATACATTGTGATAACCTCCGATATCATCAACCATACATTGTGATAACCTCCGCCGACATCATCATCCATACCTTATGATAATCTCCAACATCATCAACACTGTGATAACCTCCGACATTATCAACCATTCATTGAGATAACCTCCGATATCATCAACCATACATTGTGATAACCTCCGACATCATCAACCATACATTATGATAATCTCCAACATCATCAACCATACATTGTGATAACCTCCGACATCATCAACACTGTGATAACCTCCGACATTATCAACCATTCATTGAGATAACCTCCAACAACACCCATAATACAACAAGCAACAAAAAGTAATTTTCACGGTATACTATGCCATTTTGTAGCCATCTACCCTCACAGTATTGTTTATTTGTGGTAGCCATCTACCCTCACAGTATTGTTTATATCTGGTAGCAATCTACCCTCACAGTATTGTTTATATCTGGTAGCAATCTACCCTCACAGTATTGTTTATTTGTAGGTGCAATCTACCCTCACAGTATTGTTTATATCTGGTAGCCATCTACCCTCACAGTATTGTTTATATCTGGTAGCAATCTACCCTCACAGTATTGTTTATTTGTGGTAGCCATCTACCCTCACAGTATTGTTTATATCTGGTAGCAATCTACCCTCACAGTATTGTTTATTTGTGGTAGCCATCTACCCTCACAGTAGTTTATTTGTGGTAGCAATCTACCCTCACAGTATTGTTTATTTGTGGTAGCCATCTACCCTCACAGTATTGTTTATATCTGGTTACTATATATAAAATCATATTATCTTTTGAATAAATAACAATATACCAGAGGGATATTGGTACCCATCAATGTTTTATTTTTGTTTGTTATTCAAATTAGGATATTTTTCCTTTTCTGTTCTTCCCTCTTATTCCTTCTTTAATTAAATGAAATTCGAGAATTCTTCTGAAGAAAGTAATAACAATCTTTAACTGCCATATACATGACGGTCACTTGACAGCCACCTAAACCGAGTCTGAGTACAGTTAATAAACATTTGATATCAGTTTGAATATATTTAGGTGCTTCTCTATAAACCATTTTAGTTATACAGTTATCCACCATGTTGTAGAAAGTCTAGATGTACATAAGATGAAGTTTTACACATTACTGGTGTACATATGTATGCAAAATCTTTCACTTAGTACATTTCCAGTCTGACTACTGTGAGGTTCTTTACATAATTAGCTTCTTGTTTTTGCAATTTAAATCACTGTTTAGCTTCATCTTAAATTTCTCATTTTTCTATGAGCATTACATTGGTCAAATGGGAAATACTCAACTCAGGTTGAACTAACATGGTAGACTGACCTTGTATATCACACAATCATTCATCAGATAGCCTGTCCTTACAAGTCAGATAGCTGAACGTTCTCTAACATTAAAAATAAAACAATAATTGACCAGATTTTCTGCTTTTTTTGGCTCAGATTTTAATGCATTACCAAGTTGAGGTGGTGTAAACTAGAAGTTAAGATTAGCAGATACGGGATAAAGTGGTCAATAAGAAAACATATAAAACAACAAGAGGCATATAGGGCCTTTATCACTCTCCTTAAAACTTCACTTCAACAATCATATTTTCATAAAAAGTATTATGTTTGCAGTTATATTGCCTAAAAGGTTCCATATGAAGAGGGTATTTTTTAAAATAGATTTAACACTATTTCCCTGTTGGGGCCCCTGATACAGAATTTTTATAGATATACCACTATTTCCCTGTTGGGGCCCCTGATATGGGTTGATTTAGATTTGCCACTTCTTCCTTATTTGGGCCCCTGATACTTATTTTTTTTTACAAATTTACCACTATTTCCCTATTGAGGCCCCTGATACAGGGTTTTTACAGATTTACCACTATTTCCCTCTTGGGGCCCCTGATAAAATTTTTTTATAGATTTACCACTATTTCCCTATTGGGGCCCCTGATACAGAATTTTTTTTATAAAACTACCACTATTTCCCTATTGGGGCCCCTGACACAGGGTTTTGGTAAACATCACACAATCATCCAATTAACACATTTATAAGAACATAAGAAAAATGCTCTAAAGATTTAACTTTATTTTCCTTCATGTAGAAATAAAGAGAAGGATTTTAGAGAATTGAATATTTTTCTCAATGTGACCCTGCCTTTCTGGGGTCAAACCCCCCATCTATACCTAAATGGTTTCCCTTCACCTAAAGAGACTTTAGAAAAATAAAAATACGAAAATTTTCCTACTTCCCAAATTAAGCCCAGCCTACCTGCCTATTTGTCGCTGAACACTCAGTTTGTACACTATTACTTCCCCTTTCTCATTGATAATTTAGACGCAATTTGCACAAATCTGTTAAGTAAATCATGTCAAGTACTGATTTCTTTAAAACAGTTGACAGACGGATGCCACACTATGGAACTTTTTGGACCAGGCGAGCTAATAATGCTGATTATACATCAAGTCTCATCCTCATCGTTTAATTACTCTTATCCACTTTGGCAATATTTGCCTGTTGATCAGCAGAAACTGAGACAATTGAGGGGTACACCAACAAGAGAAATGTTTCCGTTAGAAGACTAGGTTATTCTAAGTTATAGCCAAGATACATCAGAAAAAAAACTTTCTAATGCAGAGGTAGAAAATGAAGCTGGTTTTCTAGTAAGTGATGACAGCTATATAGGCTAAAGCTGGTTTTGTATTTTTGTGAGAATTCTTTTTCTTTGTTTTAACAACAGAAGATTTTTTTCATTTTACCATTACCAGAAATATTTAGGCAGTCTAGAAAATATCATGTTTTATGCACACAAAAGAAAATGTGAGATTGTTGAAACTCTAGGGGAACTTTTTGTTCTTTCACTACTTTTTTGTATGTACTTGATAATCTGGAAAAGAAGGAGAAATTTTCCCATTTGACTAATTGAGGTCTGTATAATGATTAATCAGTGTACTTACCTGACACCATTGAAGTAGACAACCTGTTGCATGTCCGCAGGAAGTTCCTCTGGAACGGGCCACTCAAAGTTATCAAGTACAGGTATTATATTGCAATCACTCTCGAGTGCTGTTACAATCTCCTAAAACATGGAGACACATTAAAAATTAATGCTGACAGGTCAGTAAGTCAAACTCGATGATACATTCATACCACACAAGTAGCATACATCCTTAATTCACTAATAACATAATGGTAGCATACATCATATAAAGGTGGCATACATCCTTAACTCACAGATCATATAAAGGTGGCATACAACCTTAACTCACAGATCATATAAAGGTGGCATACATCCTTAACTCACAGATCATATAAAGGTGGCATACATCCTTAACTCACAGATCATATAAAGGTGGCATACAACCTTAACTCACAGATCATATAAAGGTGGCATACAACCTTAACTCACAGATCATATAAAGGTGGCATACATCCTTAACTGACAGATCATATAAAGGTGGCATACAACCTTAACTGACAGATCATATAAAGGTGGCATACATCCTTAACTCACAGATCATATAAAGGTGGCATACATCCTTAACTCACAGATCATATAAAGGTGGCATACATCCTTAATTTACTAATAACATAATGGTAGCATACATCATATAAAGGTGGCATACATCCTGAATTCACTAATAACATAATGGTAGCATACATCATATAAAGGTGGCATACATCCTTAACTCACAGATCAAAAAAAGATACCATACAACCTTAACTCACAGATCATATAAAGGTGGCATACATCCTTAACTCATAGATCATAACAAGAGATCCCAGAGGGATCTTGGCGCCCACCATTTGAGGATCTGTTTTCAGTTCTTGAAGATTTGTTTATTTTTTTTTGTTTGTTACAGGTATTGTAAATGTTCATGAACTGGTCTTCATTGAATGTACTCAATGATGGCACAAGATATTTTTATTAAGCACCTATTAGCAAATATCATTTGAAAAAGATCCCAAAGTATTATTAGATAGCAGTCAGTTACAGGTGGATAATGGACAATATGCTTGTGCTGTATTACTGTCAACATCCAAGATGGCTGCCTGTGGGCCACCTTGATTTCAAATCAGTCCAAAAAAGGTACAATGCACAACTAGGGACCAAGGGAAACCAATATCTATGAAATATCAGAAGGATCCATCCAGTACTTCCTCAGATATAGCAGTAACAAGATTTTACTCTCAAAATCCAAGATGGCTGCCTGTCAGCCATCTTGATTTCGAATCAGTACAATAAGGTATAATGCACAACTTGGAACCAAAGGGAACCTGCATATGAAATTTGAGAAAGATCCATCCAGTACTTTCCAAGAAATAGCAGTAACAAACTTTGACATTCAAAATCCAAGATGGCCACCTGTCGGCCATCTTGAATTCGAATCAGTCCAAAAAAGGTACAATGCACAACTAGGGACCAAGGGGAAACTGCATATGAAATTTGAGAAAGATCCATCCAGTACTTTCCAAGAAATAGCAGTAACAAACTTTGACATTCAAAATCCAAGATGGCCACCTGTCGGCCATCTTGAATTCCAATCAGTCCAAAAAAGGTACAATGCACAACTAGGGACCAAGGGGAAACTGCATATGAAATTTGAGAAAGATCCATCCAGTACTTTCCAAGAAATAGCAGTAACAAACTTTTACATCCAAAATCCAAGATGGCCACCTGTCGTCCATCTTGAATTTGAATCAGTCCAAAAAAGGTACAATGCACAACTAGGGACCAAGGGGAAACTGCATATGAAATTTGAGAAAGGTCCATCTGGTACTTTCCAAGAAATAGCAGTAACAAACTTTGACATCCAAAATCCAAGATGGCCACCTGTCTGCCATCTTGAATTCGAATCAATCCAAAACTGGTACAATGCACAACTAGGGACCAAGGGGAAACTGCATATGAAATTTGAGAAAGGTCCATCCAGTACTTTCCAAGAAATAGCAGTAACAAACTTTTACTTCCAAAATCCAAGATGGCTGCCTGTCGGCCATCTTGAATTCGAATCAGTCCAAAAAAGGTACAATGCACAACTAGGGACCAAGGGGAAACTGCATATGAAATTTGAGAAAGATCCATCCAGTACTTTCTCAGAAATAGCGGTAACAAACTTATACTTCCAAAATCCAAGATGGCCACCTGTTGGACAACTTGAATTCGAATCAGTTCAAAAAAGGTACAATGCACAACTAGGGACCAAGGGGAAACTGCATATGAAATTTGAGAAAGATCCATACTGTACTTTTTCAGAAATAGCAGTAACAACAATTGTTTACGGACGGACGGACGGACGGAGGGATGGACAGATGGACGGCGGACGCAGGGCGATTTGAATAACCCACCATCTATTAGATGGTGGGCTAAAAAGATACCATACATCCTTAACTCACAGATCATATAAAGGTGGCATACATCCTTAACTCACAGATCATATAAAGATACCATACATCCTTAACTCACAGATTAAATAAAGATATCATACATCCTTAAGTTACATATATGACATGAAGGTAGGATACTCAAGCTGAAGATTGTAGCTCACCTTGTGTATCCAGTCCTGCTGCTCCGTGTCCCCTTTACAGCGATCTAGTGCATCTGGTGTTAGAACTAACAGGAAATGGCGAGCTAGTTTTATATTCATCAACAAGTTCTCATCAAATTTCCCTGCACGAAGTCGTTCTATGTCTATAAACACTGTGAAACCCCGCAACTGTAGGTGAACCTTCAGTAAACTGATGTAAACAAAATCACAGTTTAGTTATTTTTTGTAAATATTCAGTCACTGGAGGTTAACGATTTTTCTCTATCAGGTGATTAAGACTGAGAAAGTAAACATTTCATGAAAGTTACTTGCCTCGAACTTTGTGCAATGCAGAAATATTAAAAGTTAGCATAAAAAAACCCCCAAAAATTGTTAATGGTATCAGTTACAAACCTGGCCAGCTGGGAACCGTTGGAGCGTCGGTAGCTGATGAAGACATCAACAGCCTTTGGGTAAGCCATCAGACTGGTAACATCAACGCTTTTCTGGCGGTTCAGACTTCCTATACTTCCATACTTTGGCAGTTGGATCTGACAGCTGTAGAGATCTGGTGGAAGAAGAAATGACCTCAGATATTTGTACGGTGGTTCCTTGACCTATCATAATACTATCACCATTCTTGTATACCCCAAACTAAACCCTATAGGGAATTCCCCTCAAGTATCATTCCCTCGTTAAGTTCACAACCCTTACCTGCAAAAGTCTGATACATTTTGTCAGGTAAACAAGAAGTTTATGATGTCAAAAGTTTACGCAACACGGACAATGACGGACAAGCACAATGGCTATAGGTCATCATGACCCTAAAAATGGACAAATACTACGGTATAGATAAGTAACTGAATATCAATTTTAATATTTTTCATATTAATGCCATCCTCCTTATCATGATAAAAGGTGTTAAAAGGAGGAGAGATCTTCTTCAGTATCCCTCACCTTCAGCGTGTTCCAGAATAAGTCGTCTATGGATACCATTGCTGATGTGACAGACGTTGTTCAGTTCAGTAATCTGCTGTGATCTTTAAGTTCAGTAATTCCCTCAGGAATCTGTAATAAGTTACACATGTTGTATTATATCTATTGTTTTCCAGATACATGATTGACTCAAGTAACAGATGATCATTCAGCAGCATTCATGCAGCAAATGGATACCTTTTATACGATTGGTGAATCAGACTTGGGCAAGTTCATGTACTGATTCTAAGACCTTGGTGTACAGTTTTATTTGTTCTCTAGATATTAGATCTTGGCCCTTTTTATCTCCTCTTTCTTGTTTTTGTGGAAAATTGCATAAAATTCAAAAATTCTTCATAAGAAATAACAATTTATAGAGGCCAAACTGTGGATCAGAATCTCAATGTTTACTGTCTTTATAGAGGCCAAACTGTGGATCAGAATCTCAATGTTTACTGTCTTTATAGAGGCCAAACTGTGGATCAGAATCTCAATGTTTACTGTCTTTATAGAGGCCAAACTGTGGATCAGAATCTCAATGTTACAGGTCTTTATAGAGGCCAAACTGTGGATCAGAATCTCAATGTTACAGGTCTTTATAGAGGCCAAAGTGTGGATCAGAATCTCAATGTTTACTGTCTTTATAGAGGCCAAACTGTGGATCAGAATCTCAATGTTACAGGTCTTTATAGAGGCCAAACTGTGGATCAGAATCTCAATGTTACAGGTCTTTATAGAGGCCAAACTGTGGATCAGAATCTCAATGTTTACAGTCTTTATAGGCCAAACTGTGGATCAGAATCTCAATGTTACAGGTCTTTATAGAGGCCAAACTGTGGATCAGAATCTCAATGTTACAGGTCTTTATAGAGGCCAAACTGTGGATCAGAATCTCAATGTTTACTGTCTTTATAGAGGCCAAACTGTGGATCAGAATCTCAATGTTTACTGTCTTTATAGAGGCCAAACTGTGGATCAGAATCTCAATGTTACAGGTCTTTATAGAGGCCAAACTGTGGATCAGAATCTCAATGTTACAGGTCTTTATAGAGGCCAGGCCAAAAACTGTGGATCAGAATCTCAATGTTACAGGTCTTTATAGAGGCCAAACTGTGGATCAGAATCTCAATGTTACAGGTCTTTATAGAGGCCAAACTGTGGATCAGAATCTCAATGTTTACTGTCTTTATAGAGGCCAAACTGTGGATCAGAATCTCAATGTTACAGGTCTTTATAGAGGCCAAACTGTGGATCAGAATCTCAATGTTACAGGTCTTTATAGAGGCCAAACTGTGGATCAGAATCTCAATGTTTACTGTCTTTATAGAGGCCAAACTGTGGATCAGAATCTCAATGTTACAGGTCTTTATAGAGGCCAAACTGTGGATCAGAATCTCAATGTTACAGGTCTTTATAGAGGCCAAACTGTGGATCAGAATCTCACTGTTACAGGTCTTTATAGAGGCCAAACTGTGGATCAGAATCTCAATGTTACAGGTCTTTATAGAGGCCAAACTGTGGATCAGAATCTCAATGTTACAGGTCTTTATAGAGGCCAAACTGTGGATCAGAATCTCAATGTTACAGGTCTTTATAGAGGCCAAACTGTGGATCAGAATCTCAATGTTACAGGTCTTTATAGAGGCCATCTCAGAATCTCAATGTTACAGGTCTTTATAGAGGCCAAACTGTGGATCAGAATCTCAATGTTTACAGGTCTTTACTGTTTTATAGAGGCCAAACTGTGGATCAGAATCTCAATGTTACAGGTCTTTATAGAGGCCAAACTGTGGATCAGAATCTCAATGTTACAGGTCTTTATAGAGGCCAAACTGTGGATCAGAATCTCAATGTTACAGGTCTTTATAGAGGCCAAACTGTGGATCAGAATCTTAATGTTACAGGTCTTTATAGAGGCCAAACTGTGGATCAGAATCTCAATGTTTACTGTCTTTATAGAGGCCAAACTGTGGATCAGAATCTCAATGTTACAGGTCTTTATAGAGGCCAAACTGTGGATCAGAATCTCAATGTTACAGGTCTTTATAGAGGCCAAACTGTGGATCAGAATCTCAATGTTACAGGTCTTTATAGAGGCCAAACTGTGGATCAGAATCTCAATGTTACAGGTCTTTATAGAGGCCAAACTGTGGATCAGAATCTCAATGTTACAGGTGTGGATCAGAATCTCAATGTTACAGGTCTTTATGTGGATCAGAATCTCAATGTTACAGGTCTTTATAGAGGCCAAACTGTGGATCAGAATCTCAATGTTACAGGTCTTTATAGAGGCCAAACTGTGGATCAGAATCTCAATGTTACAGGTCTTTATAGAGGCCAAACTGTGGATCAGAATCTCAATGTTTACTGTCTTATAGAGGCCAAACTGTGGATCAGAATCTCAATGTTAAAGGTCTTTATAGAGGCCAAACTGTGGATCAGAATCTCAATGTTACAGGTCTTTATAGAGGCCAAACTGTGGATCAGAATCTCAATGTTACAGGTCTTTATAGAGGCCAAACTGTGGATCAGAATCTCAATGTTACAGGTCTTTATAGAGGCCAAACTGTGGATCAGAATCTCAATGTTTAGGGTCTTTATAGAGGCCAAACTGTGGATCAGAATCTCAATGTTACAGGTCTTTATAGAGGCCAAACTGTGGATCAGAATCTCAATGTTTAATGTCTTTATAGAGGCCAAACTGTGGATCAGAATCTCAATGTTACAGGTCTTTATAGAGGCCAAACTGTGGATCAGAATCTCAATGTTACAGGTCTTTATAGAGGCCAAACTGTGGATCAGAATCTCAATGTTTAGGGTCTTTATAGAGGCCAAACTGTAGATCAGAATCTCAATGTTTACTGTCATTATAGAGGCCAAACTGTGGATCAGAATCTCAATGTTACAGGTCTTTATAGAGGCCAAACTGTGGATCAGAATCTCAATGTTAAAGGTCTTTATAGAGGCCAAACTGTGGAATCTCAATGTTAATCTTTATAGAGGCCAAACTGTGGATCAGAATCTCAATGTTTACTGTCTTTATAGAGGCCAAACTGTGGATCAGAATCTCAATGTTACAGGTCTTTATAGAGGCCAAACTGTGGATCAGAATCTTAATGTTTAGGGTCTTGATAGAGGCCAAACTGTGGATCAGAATCTCAATGTTACAGGTCTTTATAGAGGCCAAACTGTGGATCAGAATCTCAATGTTACAGGTCTTTATAGAGTGTGGATCTTTGTTTATATAGAGGCCAAACTGTGGATCAGAATCTCAATGTTACAGATCTTTATAGAGGCCAAACTGTGGATCAGAATCTCAATGTTAAAGGTCTTTATAGAGGCCAAACTGTGGATCAGAATCTCAATGTTACATAGAGGCCAAACTGTGGATTTATAGAGGCCAAACTGTGGATCAGTTAATCTTTATAGAGGCCAAACTGTGGATCAAATGTTTACTGTCTTTATAGAGGCCAAACTGTGGATCAGAATCTCAATGTTACAGGTCTTTATAGAGGCCAAACTGTGGATCAGAATCTCAATGTTTACTGTCTTTATAGAGGCCAAACTGTGGATCAGAATCTCAATGTTACAGGTCTTTATAGAGGCCAAACTGTGGATGAGAATCTCAATGTTTACTGTCTTTATAGAGGCCAAACTGTGGATCAGAATCTCAATGTTACAGGTCTTTATAGAGGCCAAACTGTGGATCAGAATCTCAATGTTACAGGTCTTTATAGAGGCCAAACTGTGGATCAGAATCTCAATGTTACAGGTCTTTATAGAGGCCAAACTGTGGATCAGAATCTCAATGTTTACTGTCTTTATAGAGGCCAAACTGTGGATCAGAATCTCAATGTTACAGGTCTTTATAGAGGCCAAACTGTGGATCAGAATCTCAATGTTTACTGTCTTTATAGAGGCCAAACTGTGGATCAGAATCTCAATGTTACAGGTCTTTATAGAGGCCAAACTGTGGATCAGAATCTCAATGTTACAGGTCTTTATAGAGGCCAAACTGTGGATCAGAATCTCAATGTTACAGGTCTTTATAGAGGCCAAACTGTGGATCAGAATCTCAATGTTACAGGTCTTTATAGAGGCCAAAGTGTGGATCAGAATCACCCAGTCTTTATAGTTGGTAAAGACTGTGGATCAGAATCTCAATGTTTATGGTATTTATAGAGGCCAAACTGTGGATCAGAGCTAAGCGTGAAGCTTTGGCGTTAGGACTGCTGGCAACTTTCTTCAATGGTTCTATAGCATCAATATCATAGAACACCTGATCAAAACAAAAATACGGCACTAATTATAATAAATTTTGATGAAGGCTTTGAAATGTTCAAATTTTTCCTGGTTAAAACTTAACACTGACTCCGCCCAATCCCTAATCTCCCTAGGGGTCATTATATGACCTTTCTTTTGCCCCATCCTTGATGTCCCCGACGTCCCTAGGGGTCATTATTTGACCTTTTTTTGCCCCATCCCTGATGTCCTTGATGTCCCTAGGGGTCATTATTTGACCTTTGTTTTGCCCCATCCCTCACATCCCTAGGGGTCATTATTCGACCTTTGTTTTGCCTCATCCCTGATGTCCCTGACCTCCCTAGGGGTCATTATTCGACCTTTGTTTTGCCCCATCCCTGATGTCCCTGACCTCCCTAGGGGTCATTATTTGACCTTTGTTTTGCCCCATCCCTGATGTCCCTGACGTCCCTAGGGGTCATTATTCGACCTTTGTTTTGCCCCATCCCTGATGTCCCTGACGTCCCTAGGGGTCATTATTCGACCTTTGTTTTGCCCCATCCCTGATGTCCCTGACGTCCCTGACGTCCCTAGGGGTCATTATTCGACCTTTGTTTTGCCCCATCCCTGATGTCCCTGACCTCCCTAATTCTAAACTGAACCCAATGTAAGTTTGTATTTTCATTAATTATGAATGGTTATATATATATTTGTCTCCATTTATCTTTCTCAAATTCATATTTCCTCCCATTTTTTTCTCCCAGTAGATCTGGAATAATTTTGTACAGTACAGTACACAGTACAGTACAGTATACAGTACAACAGTACACAGTACAGTATACAGTACAGTACAGTACAGTACACAGTACAGTACAGTATACAGAACAACAGTACACAGTACAGTATACAGTACACAGTACAGTACACAGTACAGTATAGTATACAGTACAACAGTACACAGTACAGTATACAGTACAGTACAGTACAGTATACAGTACAACAGTACACAGTACAGTATACAGTACAGTACAGTATACAGTACAACAGTACACAGTACAGTATACAGTACAGTACAGTACAACAGTACACAGTACAGTACAGTTCACAGTACAGTACACAGTACAGTACAGTACACAGTACAGTACAGTACACAGTACAGTACAACAGTACACAGTACAGTATACAGTACAGTACAGTACAGTACACAGTACAGTACACAGTACAACAGTACACAGTACAACAGTACACAGTACAGTACACAGTACATAGTACAGTACAGTACAACAGTACACAGTACAACAGTACACAGTACAGTACACAGTACAGTATACAGTACAGTACAGTACACAGTACAACAGTACACAGTACAGTACACAGTACATAGTACAGTACAGTACAACAGTACACAGTACAACAGTACACAGTACAGTACAGTACACAGTACATAGTACAGTACAGTACAGTACACAGTACAGTACAGTACAACAGTACACAGTACACAGTACACAGTACAACAGTACACAGTACACAGTACAACAGTACACAGTACAGTACAGTACACAGTACAGTACAGTACACAGTACAGTACAGTACACAGTACAACAGTACACAGTACAGTACACAGTACATCATAGAGATCCTTTATTCCCTTTTTATTCATAAGAAATAATTCTAAATTAATTGGGACATATACGTAACATATTTACATTTGAGATATCTTCATACAGAAGTTGTTCCTTTTTATGGAATCAATTACCCTTTGATAGATAAGAAAATTTGTATGTATGTTGAATTTCTGTGAAAACTCATAAAAATTATAAAAAAAAACCAATACCATGATCTTAGATTAAAGCATTTACTATGATTACACCTTTCCTATACAATTCTCTAAAACACTCTCTTGTTTTTAATTACACCTCTTTATTTAGCCAGATGGGTATTTTAAGAATGACTTCAGCTTTACCAATTTTTTGTCATAGTTAATTCTGGGGATTTGAGGAAGGTCCACATCAAGCACAATACCTATTACTGTAAATTTAGTAATACCCATTGTAAATTCCACTCCGGAAAGTATATGTCATCACTATATTTTTCACTACCGATCCAAACAACATGTGTTTTGCCTGTATTTACTTTTATACCAGAACAATTTGTAAAGTTATTTAATTCATGGAATGACTCCTTTGAAATATTTTTTATCGTCTAAAATGATTGATGTATCATCTGCATATTGTGATAATAAAGTTGGAATGTCATTTATGTTCATCCATTTTGTATTCTTATTTATTCGTATTCTAATAGCAAGTATTTCAACACATAGTATGAAAATATATGGAGCAAAAGGGTCTCCCTGCTGACAGCCTCTCTTAATTTCGAAAAAAGTTAAGGGACTACTGTCTTGATTTATAGAAGAGAGTGCACTGGCATGTAAATTTTTATCTACCTGACTTTAAATATTTCTACTCAAATTTGAATCATTTCCAAAGTAAAAAACCTTATGGTCATACCCTTGGGGGTAAGTATGTGCATCAAGAAATTGTCATCTTATACTAATAATTCTAACCAGGTTTAAATTGTTTCCAGTGAAAATTTTAAAATATGCACCAATTTGTAATTTCATCAATAAACTATTGTAAACTTGACCCCTTCCTACAAGGAAATTTTAGACCATAGTTCAAGAATTTGACATTTTTGGCAAAGCACCTTAAGACCGTTCCATCAAAGGAGAATATTTGATTCTTCCATATCTGGGTCTAAAGAAGAAGACTTTTGACATTTCAGTCAATTGCACTCCTTTTGACTTTTATTGATTTTACAATTCCTACTTTAAATTCATCTTTGGCCATGGAAGGTTTCCACAAAAAGTTTTTGAGAACAAGTCGAAAATATCAATTAAAAAAGTGCACCGGTACACACAGGATGACACAAGACAAGAAGCAATTGGAAAAGTTCAGGTGACGTGAAATCAAAAAAAAAAAAAAAAAAATCAATCCCTGATTTAATTAGCATAATTATGATTAAATATCAACATCCTGCTTCTAACAGGCCTCCTTGAACATCAATCTTATATTTACTTACAAAATCTGCATGAAAGACTGAGTCTATATTTGTATGGGGAATTCCCACACCATCACAGAAGTAATGTTTTGTACAAGGAATCCCCACATTATCACAAAAGCTATATGAGGGCCATTCAATCAATTCAGTAACTACCAGCTGTGCAAACAGGAAATACAATAGCACATGTCAAAGCGTTGGCATCCTGCAATGACATTTTAGAATAGCAATGTATGTGCAACATTTTACATAACTATAAAGGAATTGATTAAGACAAGTATTGCTGAATGGTTGACATATGTACTCTTCACCAATGAAATCCTTTTGACTGCTATATGACTCTATTTGAAACACAAACCTATATCAAAATGAATGTTATACCTATATATACACCCAATATAGATGCTGTAAAGTAGTTAGACAGCACATTCCATACTTATTCCATCTCTTTATAACAGCATTTGTATTGTTTAGCAAACTTATCAATGTTGAATAGATATCCTTGACATGACCAGGTTGGTTGTTTCTACAGCAAATAGAACATTGCTGATGTAAAAGTACTGGTAGAAAAAAATCAACACTTTTTCTAAAAAAACTAAACGTTTGATATTTACAACATTTGTGCCTAATCAGTTTACATTAATCTCACAAATATTCTAAAAGGTATGGTTCTTGTAAGCCGAGAAAATATCAACATTACTTACAGAGGACAAATCATGGGTATATCCTAAACACTACTTACAGAGGACAAGACATCAGTACATCCTTAACATTACTTACAGAGGACAAGACATCAGTACATCCTTAACATTACTTACAGAGGACAAGACATCAGTACATCCTTAACATTACTTACAGAGATGAGACATGGGTTTACCTATTTTGGACCCAAAAGGTACTCTTGGGGGAGGAAAATACTTTTGAGGGATATTGCGATTGTAATAAAAATATTGAACAATATGAAATGTGATTCTAATTTGTAACACTATATAAAAAATTGATTTAACGAGAATTGTACCTACCCCAGGGAATCTGTACCTACACCAGAGAATCCGTGACTACCCCAGGAGATTCATACCTCCCCCAGGGAATCCCTACCTACCCCAGGGAATCTGTGTCTACCCCAAGAGATTCATACCTACGCCAGGGAATCTGTGCCTCCCCCAGGGAATCCCTACCTACCCCAGGGAATCTGTACCAACCCCAGGGAATCTGTGCCTACCCCAGGGAATCTGTGCCTCCCCCAGGGAATCTGTACCAACCCCAGGGAATCCGTACCAACCCCAGGGAATCTGTACCAACCCCAGGGAATCTGTGCCTACCCCAGGGAATCTGTGCCTCCCCCAGGGAATCCCTACCTACCCCAGGGAATCCGTACCAACCCTAGGGAATCTGTACCTAACCCAGGGAATCTGTACCTACCCTAGGGAATCTGTACCTAACCCAGGGAATCTGTACCTACCCTAGGGAATCTGTACCTACCCCAGGGAATCTGTACCTACCCTAGGGAATCTGTACCTAACCCAGGGAATCTGTACCTACCCTAGGGAATCTGTACCTACCCTAGGGAATCTGTACCTACCCTAGGAGATCCCTACCTTCCTCAAGAAATACCTCCACAAGAAGCCATACTTACCCCTAGTCTGCCTTGCTCTGCCTTGATGCCAGCCTCCATAGCAAAATGGAAGGCTGCCAAGGCCTGCGGTTCCTCACGATGACTGGACAAGATGGGAACAAGCCGCTCAAGCCACATATTGTCGCGCCCCTGTTGATGTGAAAAATCGCTCTTGGCAAAGTCAGCTGGCTTGTTACTGCTTATAAAAGGCATGACTAGCTCGAGTGTGCCAGACTTAATAACAGCGGCTTCAAGTTCTTTGTTAGCCACCAGCACCACAATGGCGAGACAGGCATAGTACCTCACATTGTTATCTTCATTAAAAGCCAGGGGAAAGAGCCACTCAGGCACATTCCGTCGTGCCATTTCTTCCTGGTTCTCCACCCCTCCAAACAATGACAAGTTAGAAATGGCTTTGGCACAATGACGGAGAATATCTATGGTGCAGCTTCGACACCAGTGCAGAATCACATCTAATCCACCAAGATTCACAATTTTTGTTGAAGCTTCTTCAGACACTTTAAAAAGACCTTCTAATATTCCAGTACTTATGAATGCCATGTCTGTATTGCCAATTTCTCTGTATGTCATACCTACTACAGTTTCCAGCCCACTTTTCACAACACGCTCCCTGTTCTTTGTGGACAGGGATTGTTCTAGTAATGCTGCAGATGCCACCATCAGGTCGTGGTTTGCTGACCCACAATTTTTGATGATCAGATCTAAAACGCCTTCGAGGCGCAATACATCACACAGTCCATAAGCAAGGTCACGGCCGTACACGGCTACGCTCCAGGCTTCCTTTATAATACTCAGAATTTTCTCCAGATGTAGAATCTCCTCGCCAGCACTGGCACTCTTAAGAGGAGTGATGTGAGTCTCCAGACGTTGTCCAAACTGTTGGTAAGTCAACTTGAGGTTATTTTTGTAGTGGTAAGAGAGATGAGAGTCCGATGACAGCACCGATGGAATCACTATGGGATATTTTCTGTAAAAACTACACAAGTCTTCGTAATCTTCACTGTCCAACTCACTTGCTTCCGACTCCGTTTCATTGGAGGCAGAATACACACAATGAGATGTGGAGTGACTTAGGGACAGTTCCTCTCCTTGTGGTATTGTTTCTAGTGACTGACCCATAAACAACTTTGACCTTGAATCTGTATGAGCAAATGATGCAGAAGCAGTTTCGTTTTCAATCATGGTGTCTATTTGCGAGAGATCAAAATATACCCTTGAACTTTCTGATACTTTATTTGTTTTCTCTAGTTTTTCCAGTTGTTCTGTTGAATTTGAAGTTTTCTGTGTCTTTGTGAACGACATCATGCGTTTTGATGTTTGAGACTTTGTCTTGGTCAGTGATGCGTCGGACTGTGACCTCTCCAGCAGCTGACAGGGGTCAAACTTTTCATGCTGCATATGCTCGTCACTGGTATCAGTGGGCGACTCTGTCGTTGACCTTTCCTCAACCTCAAGGTCAGGCAAGGAGGAAGTAGAAGACATGTTGTTCAAATGCTTCTTTAAGGTCTCAGAGTACTTTTTGCTTTCACATGACTACAAAAGAGAAAAAAAACAAAATTTTTAAACACACATCATCAGCATAGTCTTGACATTCTTTAGTGGAAGAAATCAAATTGCATAGAAGGTTTCTTTATCATGGAGGAATACTATGTCTGGATTTCTGATTTTAAATTTCAGTAGGTAGAACTTCCTTCACAAATTGTATTGATATTTACACAAATTCTATCCATCATTATCCTTTTGCTACAGGCATTGAACTTTTTGTGATTACTTCCATCAAGATCTGTACATCCCACTATGTATATACAGGTATATAAATTGTCTATTGTTTCTGCCAACACTGTGGCTCTGTTATGACGTCATCCGTTAGGGATCAACTCAACCATAATCTATTATGATTATTGCCAAGTATACAAGGTCCATACTTATTATCATCATGAACATTTACCTGACATAAAAGAAGGTGAAATATCTCGATCATTTTCTTAGCAATTTTTTTATGATGCTCATCATTGGCCTGGTAAATAATGCAGACCTCTGATATAATGAAATCATTGGGACTGATCAGTATTTACTGGTGATAAACTTGTCTCATTAAAACTGGGTACAATGGTCAGCTTTTAAAAATTATTGTCTATGCGTCAGTTCTATCAAAAATTGTTAACATTAGTAAGATCAATGTTTTATTTATCATATATTGTACACGATTAAAGTGATCATTTTACATGTATATATAGATAAAAATAAAGTAATTGACTTTTCTAAATTTCTTTGATGCATATCATTAGCGTCCATATCAACATTTGCAGAAATCTTGACCTGCCAGGTGTTTACAAAATATCAAGGTGAGATAAGTTGACAAATAAACCATGGAGATTGAAAAATTTGTTGATAATATATAGGTTTTCTGATAACCATTGATTATCTGCAAGAAATAAAAAGATAAATTACAAAGGAATTATTTCCAAAGTATAAAGTTCAATGATTTTTGCACAGAAAAAAGTTTTCATGTCACACAATGCACAGCAATCACATACATCATGTCCAGATTTACTATTTTGATATCATAAATCATCACATTTCATACACTAGCTTAAAATGGTTTTTTTGCTCCTCATAAAGAACCTTCAGTGTCAATGATCCAAAGGAATTATCAAGACATCTACACATGGTAGACTTTGGTGTTGTAATGCTATGGTAGACCTTGGTGTTGTGATGCTATGGTAGACCTTGGTGTTGTGATGCTATGGTAGACCTTGGTGTTGTGATGCTATGGTAGACCTTGGTGTTGTGATGCTATGGTAGACCTTGGTGTTGTGATGCTATGGTAGACCTTGGTGTTGTGATGCTATGGTAGACCTTGGTGTTGTGATGCTGGTGTTGTGATGCTATGGTAGACCTTGGTTGGTGTTGTAATGCTATGGTAGACCTTGGTGTTGTGATGCTATGGTAGACCTTGGTGTTGTGATGCTATGGTAGACTTTGGTGATGCTGAGTGGTGAATCAGAACTTAATCTGTTTAACGGTTTATGAAATCACTGAGAGGGCTTAAGCATGGATCACGTAGGAATTTCTTTTTAAAATCATTATCTTGTAAATTTCATCAATAGTGCAGGAGTTATTATTCATTTTGGTTTTTCACTGTCAAGACAACCATGTGATCTGATTGCTTTATGACTTCACAATAGAGTCATTATGTATATAGGCTACATAATATTTATAAAATCATTTTATAACCTGGATGAATGAAATAAATTACCATGCATTTATTTAGGTAACAGTAATTACAGGTAGGACTCCCTGCTATATGTATCAAACTCCACAAAGCAATAACATGTTTTCATTGTCAATATCTCAGATGACCACTTGTCAGACATTTTCTTTTTAGTCCCAAGATCCGATAAGCACAGCTGAGTGACCACGGGAAACTGACACATGAAATTTAGTGAGCAAAAGATTAATCTAGTATTTCTCAAGAAATACACTGACATCAACATTCTGGAATTATTGAAAGGCAAAACATGTTGTCAGTAGTCTGAAACTTAGAAGATTAACCAACACACATATGAAGTTAGCGGGATGTTGATCCTCTGAAAATTTCTAAAACTGGAGATTTTTCTTGTCTGATGTTGCAGTATGCATATATTTGTAACTTTGAATGCCAGACATAATCCATCACATGCAAAACAAGATAATTTAGTGAATTACAGTTCCCTACCGACACACTGCCTCTAAAAAGGAGAAAATCCATATCCCAAGTATTAGTTCCAATGATGAACTGAGTAGAAGATAAGGCAAGGAGAAGCATTTTCTCTAAAGAAGGTCAAAGGTAAAAAATTCGGTGAAATTTACCTTTTTCAGATAAGCGACACACTGTCTCATCAAATTGGACCCATAATCACAACCTAAGTGGACCCATTACTAAAGCTAAAAGTTCCTGTGATTACTAGTGTAAAAGAAAGCGCCAAGACAATATTCACCTTTGATGTAGGTCGAAGGTCAAAATTTAGGTCAAAGTCACCTAATGCACCGTCTCACAAATGTTAACCCATACCACAAGTATGAAATTCTCATGATCAGTCATGGCAAAGAAACACGAGATGGTACATCAGAAGTAAACAAAACATCAGAATGGAATGTTATTTATAAAATCTAATTGTTGTAGATTTGTAAGTTTTGAATGCACCGTTGGATTCATGCTTGCATCCCAGACATACTATACCCTTGACAGGTAAAAGTAAGCAAACCTATTATTATTGGAATATTGTGACATCTTCTGTACAGATATCTTAAGACATAAATACCAGATCTTTCTATAGAAGTGTGGCCTGAATATGAAATCAATGATTTATTAACTGGACATCAAGACCCACGATGTGCAAATAGACAGTGATAAACATGGAGTAGGCAAAGTTTAACTTGTAATCAATATCAGTGTTTACAAGATTTAGCAGGTTTTCCAATCCCAAATAGGCCTCAGCTATCTACATATAGAACAATGGTTCTTAAAATACTCCTCTAATAAAATATACGATCACACAAGTGCATAATAATGTGTGATGAGGATTATATATATGTGTGATATACATTTCTGATAAAAAAGATTATGGAAAGAATCCTCTCTTGTAATTGATTTAATTCCCCTTTAAATCGACATATAACTACAAACAAGATCACTTGGCTCTCAATACACAATACATACACAACCTGTCAGCAAATAAAAAATTTCTCTCTCCAGAACTCAACCAATTTTACAAATACCATCATGAAACTTGGTGCAATGATGTATTTTCATCATCATAACAATTTATCTGTTAATGTCTCTAATCTTGTTTTCTTTTAAGTATTTCAGGCAATAGTGTCTGAAGGTGCATCACGATTACCCATGGTATTTGTATAAAACAAGGACAGGTACTAATAACATTTTTGCTGAAGTAAAATCGTCATACTTCTGTCATTTTTCGCATAATTTGAATCTGAAAGGAAATATCTTCTGGAGTGTCTGACTTTATTTAGTACTTCAAGATATAAAGTTTGACGAAGGTGACATCCAGTGTGATACACAATGTCCCATCAACAATCCAGGAAAATTGAACTCTTCATTAAGTCAACAATTTTACAAATATCAACTTGAAATTTGGTACAAAGGTGTCTTATAATCCGATCTAAGATGTCGCTAACTAATATCAATTATTTTAAAATACATTTTCTGAAGTCTTTTTACAAATCTTACTGTTGCTGATTGTCACTTGTTAAGTATTATTATGTAGATCGTTCAGAATAGATGTCAGTGATCCCACAGACCTGTATGTTCTGTTATATTGTCCTGTCTTGGAGAATGAACTTAAAATCAGAGCAATGCTAGTTCGTGATTGATGCCAATCTCAATTTGAATAGTGTCAAAAACGCCTTGCCTGTCACTTTTGATAATACTTATACAAGTTTTTGGTATAATATATACACTTGCTTGTCTTACAGTGATCTTCTGCATGCATAACAATATTTTGAAAAATGGTTGCATTATTTACAGAAAATTAATGCAACTAGTTAGCTAGTTAGTGTTGTGATGCTATGGTAGAACTTGGTGTTGTGACGCTATGGTAGACCTTGGGGTTGTGACGATATGGTAGACCTTGCTGTTGTGACGCTATGGTAGACCTTGGTGTTGTGACCATATGGTAGACCTTGGTGTTGTGATGCTATAGTAGACTGTGGTGTTGTGATGCTATGGTAGACCTTGGTGTTGTGATGCTATGGTAGACTTTGGTGTTGTAATGCTATGGTAGACCCTGGTGTTGTGATGCTATGGTAGACCTTGGTGTTGTGATGCTATGGTAGACCTTGGTGTTGCGCTGCTATGGTAGACCTTGGTGTTGTGATGCTATGGTAGACCTTGGTGTTGTGATGCTATGGTAGACCTTGGTGTTGTGCTGCTATGGTAGACCTTGGTGTTGTGCTGCTATGGTAGACCTTGGTGTTGTGCTGCTATGGTAGACCTTGGTTGGTGTTGTGATGCTATGGTAGACCTTGGTGTTGTGATGCTATGGTAGACCTTGGTTGGTGTTGTGATGCTATGGTAGACCTTGGTGTTGTGATGCTATCTTAGACCTTGGTGTTGTGATGCTATGGTAGACCTTGGTTGGTATTGTGATACTATGGTAGACCTTGGTGTTGTGATGCTATGGTAGACCTTGGTGTTGTGATGCTATGGTAGACCTTGGTGTTGTGATGCTATGGTAGACCTTGGTTGGTGTTGTGATGCTATGGTAGACCTTGGTGTTGTGATGCTATGGTAGACCTTGGTGTTGTGATGCTATGGTAGACCTTGGTTGGTATTGTGATGCTATGGTAGACTATGGTAGACCTTGGTGTTGTGATGCTATGGTAGACCTTGGTGTTGTGATGCTATGGTAGACCTTGGTGTTGTGATGCTATGGTAGACCTTGGTTGGTGTTGTGATGCTATGGTAGACCTTGGTGTTGTGATGCTATGGTAGACCTTGGTGTTGTGATGCTATGGTAGACCTTGGTTGG